TGGAGTCCCTTTTTCCATATAAGGCCACCTAGTCACAGATTCCAAAGATTAAGGCATAGACATCTTTGAGAGGCCAGTATTTGACCACCTTTCTGGCCCTCAAAGATACATTCATCCCACATACTTTTATCTCATCCCCAGCTCTCTAAAAATTTATCCCATTACAGCATTTGATTCAAAGTCCTAAATCTCTTCACCTCCAAACTCCAAATCTGATTCATCTAAATCAGGTGTGGACGAGCAATCCACTAAGCAAAGTTCACATCTATGTGAGACCAGTAAAAATGAAGGAGCAGTCATCTATTTCCAACACAGGGTGGATGGGACAGAGGTGTGACAACAGTTAGAGACATTAGAGGTCAAAAAGGGAGGAAGTAGAAAGAAAAGTGGAGTCATGGCCCAAAGCAGCCTGGAAATCCAGCCCAGCAAACTCCACTGAGCTTCAAGGCCAAGGACTTACCCTTTGTCGATCTCAGCTCTGCCCTCTGCATAAGATGTCAGAGAAAGGTGGCCTTGGAACCGCCATTTGAATGACTTGGATTCACCAAGCAGGTCGGGGAGACTTGCTTCTGTCTCCTTTGCGTATCGTTATAGCATCATAAACCTTCACTTGCCTATTGCTGCGGAGCCCCGTGGGGCAGCAGAGCCTCTGGTGATCCTTTCCCAGCACTCACAGCCGCCTACCTATGCCATCTAGTACCTAGAGATGTTAGGAGGGACACAGCACAGGTAACGGGGCTTGATGAAGGGCACTGACAAGATTACTCCAGTGAACCAGGAGCTAGCCATGATGTCACGGCACAGTGGGCTGGCTGGCTCAGGACACCAGTAAAATGGAGAGGTCTTGTGCCAGAACTGGCATTAGATGCAGAATTCTACCTCTTCCTGCCAGGTCCTCTCTTCTATCAAAGGCTTTAGCGGTCTGCTGACCCCACCTCTGAGCAGATGTGCTGATTGGTGTGCACACACASTTTACCTGGACTGCTCCTGAGCCCATGTCTGTGATTTTATCCCACTCTTAAAAATAATTTTCACTGAATTCACATGAGATGCTTCCTTGCTGGAAACACATTYAATGCCTTCTGTGTCCTTATTTCTTAATCACARACTCACAATTTTCTGCTATAAATGTTAAGGAAAATTACCAATGTCCAATTTTATAGAATTACAATTTAAGGAAAGATTCTATTGAATGAGGTAAGTGATAACCCATCCATCCATTTCAGCCTATGTTCGTTTTCTTTTGAACATCGAAGAGTCATGTTCAAAGGAGATTGGTTCCCATTCCTTCATATTGCTGGTTGCTATTTAGTCACATTATACACACACACACACACACACACACACACACACACACACATACACACACACACACACACACACACACATTGTTTACCTGGCTAGTTTGTGACCTTCTAAAGGTCAAAGACTAGGTATTATATTGTCTTTTTATCACAAGATAGCATTGGGTATRGAAAAAGCATGTGTCTACTTTTGTTAACTTGAATGGATTCATTTCTGCAAATTCTTTCTTCCTAAAACAGGTCCACAGCATCCATCTGACAAAACCATAACTGTGAACTTTAGCTCAACATTGTTAAGTATAGGAAAAAAGTTAGACATAACCTGAGTGTCCATTTAGGTGCAAAAAGTCTAAAAAATGTGAATCATGATCTGTTTATACATGGGACACCAGAAGTCATTTGATGACTAAGCTAGATCTGTAGGTACCATCATAAAAAGAGACAATGATACATTTTCTAAGGATAAATGCAAGTTTCCTGAGGAAAAAGCATGGTTAAAAAACAAAATCATACCTGCCCAGGTCATTTATCAGGAGTAGAAAATAATCTTGGATGATAAACACCAGTGGTCACAGTGATTTCCTTGGGGAGCTCAAGGACTGTGCTCTCATAGCTCTGCAAGAGAGCTCACAGCATACATTCAACTGAGTGGCCAGACTGTGAAAGGTGCACCTGCTGCAAGTGGCACAGGTGTCTGGTGCTGCTGGATGCCTTGTGCCTATGAGCCACATCATTCTCTGTACTATTTAAATCAGATGGAATACACAGTACTCCACAGACTATGCTGTGGAGCTTACAGCACACTGAATGGGCCTTCCATTTCCCATAAAAAATGCTTGTGGTGCAGATGGCCAACATGTGGGAGATCAAGCCAGAGAGAAAACCAAAAGATGGGATTTGAGGGACCAAATCTATTTGGTTCCCTTCCTACTTCCTTATCGTTTTAAACCTCCATCATGGATTTTGTATTTGGAATTACTGAGGCTGTGACCTTCTTTCTGCACTGGTTCCTTACGGTGGGTGGAAAGTACATCATTCTTCTTCATGTACCTGGTAATGAACAGCAAAAGCTGAGTGCCGTAGTTGAAAGAGTAGTAGATCTTGTGTTTAGGAGGAAAAGGGAAAAAAGGAAAACCTCATTGCCTGCAAGAAAAGCCCAAAGTTTCACCTAATGTGCTTTTTACCAATTCTGTAATAGTTGGATAAAAGTAGAAACTTATGTCCAATGGCTTGTATGAAACCATTACCCACAGAAGAGACAAGCACAAACTTGTATCCATTTGATAATATATCTTGTCTCCTGTCACTTGCAGACAATAGGCATATGGGTGGGTGGGTGTAGGTGTCTTGGTCCTTTTACCTTGTTTAGTGACACTATATTAATCTTTCTTGCGTCTCAACATCATGTACATTTTAATTAAAAACGTTTTAAATTTGGGAGCAGACTGGACTAGAATCAAATAGAAACTAGAATATGCTGGAATTAATGTTGACAACATCTAGTGTTGATGAACTGTTCATTCCTGTTATTTCCTGCTCATTTTTTGATTACCAGTGAAATTAGTGCTGATCACGATTAAGTCTATTTTGGTCCGGAGGCTGCCTCCCCATCATGACGATGTTCAAAGGAAAGACACCTCATCCCTCCAGGAGGTGTATTCAGGGTACTTCAGACTGGGGTGTACCTGAGCTGAGGTGCTTTCAGGTCCGAATTCCACAGTTTCTTCATTTGGAAAAACCACCCTCCCAGACCCAAGGTCACTCATTGCCATGGAGGTCTGATAGGGAATTCTGACAAACTTATTTTTCTGATATCTTCAAAGCTCAACCTGGAGAGAATCATTTCAAGGATGAATGGTCTAAACTTGACTTTTATAAGGGCCATTCTTCTAGTTTAAAATAATACTATTGTGCCTCCTGCCACATTTCCCATAGCAGTAAGTGAGTTCCTCCTCTCTCCCCACCCCCACTAGGGACATTGCCAGAAACATGTTGGTTGACCCACAGTGCAATTTATAAAATTTTGCATTAAAATGCTGTCAATATTTGATTAGTTGTATTGCCTAAGAAACTGAAATTTTTGTTCATAAGATCAGCAAATGCCAAAAATCCTAATTTAAATTAAATAACATTTTCTAGGGATACACTAAAATGCTGATAAACCCTTTTTAATATTTCCTGTGATACTTTTTAGATATCAAAGAAAGCATTATATTCATTAGCATTTTAGCATTAGGCCTATTTCATTTTCTTTTTATCCTAAAAAAAAAAAAAAAAAAAACATGAACAAACAAAATCTGGTCCATCCATATTCTCCATTAAGGCTGAAGCTGTTGACTTCTCCTTTCCTCATGTTTCATTTCATTGTCTCCATAAGTAGCTGCAGGACCTTGGACAACCTCTTTAAGGCTCAGCTTCCTCACCTGCCAAGTAGAATAGGTGCAACCGCAAAAGATATTTGATAACAAAATGAGGAAGTGCCTGTGTTGATGACCGTGCTGGTGTGGAGAGTCCTACCATTTCCACTCCTCCAGACTGCCCAAGTTCAGAGGTGTTGGGAATCCTCCCCGTGGCCTCCTAGCAGGCAGCAAAGAGGACCACCTTTCTCYAGCCAAACTCACCCCACAGGGCTAGGGCCTCACACTCAGCTTCTGCATCACCATGGAGATGCACCTTATCTGACTCCAACCCAGGCTTTCTGAGCCAAACCCAGGTGGAATCCAGCACCCTATATTTTATCTGCCCTCCAGGTTGTTCTGAGGTTCCCAAAGTTTGAGAACCATTGCCCTACCTAGTTAGTTCTCTGTCCTTCTCTCTAAATTCTTCCAATCCCTTTGTGCCCTCCATTAGCTCATCTCCCCCAACATCCCCTCTGAGTGGTTCAGAGTCCCTGCAGAAATTTTCCCCTGGAGCCAAATCCTAACCATGGTCTGTGTGCTTCCTAGCTGGGTTCCGGCCCAACAGGCCCCTTCTCTGGACTTTAGCTCAGGCCCTGCAGGAGAGGAAAGCATTTGGAGTAACTCTTCCCCTAAGAACTGTCATGGACATCCCAAAGACTAAATTGTCCAGAAACTCTGTGTCCTTAGAGTAAATTCCTAGAAGTCTACTTCTGGCTGGGCCAGGGTAGGTATATTTTTGAGGCAGGCCAATTTAGATCTCTAAGATATTTCAATAAGTCAGAAGCTCTGTCTTTGGAATTGCTTCAGACTTCTCAAAGAAGAAGAATCCTTTGAATCAAAAGACTTCTGATTCCCTTGTTGATTATAAATGACATGACCCCTGGGACTTTCTGAAAGTCCCCCATTCTCAGCAGTCACAAGAGTGGCAGATCAATCATGCTAGGAAGTCCGCATGCTCTGTTTTCCAAGTTGCAGCAAGGGATCTCTGTTTTACTCAATTCCAGGAACTGTTGTTGAAGCCAATCCCACTCATTAAAGCTATATTCTTTTTTGAAAATAACCTTATTTTATTTGTTTATGTTTTCATGCAGTGCTGAGAACCGAACCCAGTGCCTCATGGCTAGGCAAGAGCTCTACCATGAGCCACAACCCCAGGCTTAAAGCTATATTCTTGATTAACATTCTACCAAGAAAAAAAAAAGTTTTCTTTAAAACTGGGGGTGGTGGCCTGGAAGGATGCTCTCTCAGTGACCACAGTGAAGGTCACTGATGACTGACACTTCCCTCTGCTTTGCAGGAATGTAAGTTCAGCCGGAGAGGAGGCCCGCCGGAGGATGCGGGAGTGTGACGGGCTCACAGATGCCTTGCTTTACGTGGTCCAGTCTGCACTGGGGAGCAGTGAGATCGATAGCAAGGTTTGTAGTGTCTGCATGGACTGAGCATCTCAGAGCACATAGACACCTACCACGGGGCCCCGCGATGGAGGACAACACGGAGAGCTGTCGTGGCATTTCACACATGCATCCTGAGCTCTCTCAGCTTCTCTGTGTGACTCCAACTCTGTCCAGGCAGGCAGGCCTCTCCTCGTGGTCTTAGAACTAGCCTTCCAACCTTAGATCAGCAATGCATGACAATCCAGGTTAACGTTAAACTCCCCAAGATTGGAATAATCTTGTATTCTCATATTATCTTTTTAATAACTGCTAATTGTACTAAATGCCATTTTAAAATGCCTTCAAAATCGGAGAGAATGTCAAAAAGCTAAAGGAAGCTGCCAGTGCCTTAAGTTATTAATATGTACTCACTGCTGTAGTTCACAAGCCAAGATGGGAATGGGTGAACCTTTCCAGGGTCTGAGTTATTTTGTTTTCTCTTAACTAGATGAGTTTCCATTCACACTAATATAAATTCGCAAAGTAATTTCATAATATCTTCATATAAACACAGCTTCTACCTATACTTCAAATTAGTGCATGGATACGTGTGATACTTTAATGAGGGCTCTGAGGAGCTGTTCCTCTTAACAGTTGGGGCCTTCTGTCTCCTCATTGTAAGGGGCWGTAACCAGGATCAGGCAGCATTCCTACCTTCACCCACTGGATTCCAGTAGCATCTCCCAACCCACCCACCCCAATACTAACAAACCAACAGGTCCCCGCCCGTGGCCATGCCTTCTATGCAGAGCCAAATCCACCCTGGTTGCAAACCCCTGTCTGATCCCACGGTCCCCAACCCCGACTCTTCATCAGAGTTGCCTTTGGGGCACTAATGAATATGTCTCCCCGACCCCATTGTTGTTCCTAACCTGACTGCCCAGCTCKGGTTGCAAGTGCTGATACYTTTAAAAATGAATCTGATGTGCATCTTGGATGAAGGGCCTGCCTTACTAGGTGGAGCTCTGAATGGTACAATTGCAATCTGCTTTGATAATATAATTGTAAAATCAAACAAAAAATAAATAGGAGTGATTCTATTCCCTTAGGAGTGACTTTAATTCCCTTAGTTGTTAATCAGCTTTGAGAGTAAGTTCACATTAAACTTCTCAGCCTTGGCCACTCATTACAAAAACCAAGAAGTTTAGAGAATTACCAGTGGCTCAGCCTGGCTCCTCAAAGACTGGGGCCCTGGGTGTCTCCTGGGACTCCAGCTCTTTGAGTCACAAGTTCTGCTCTCATCCTTGCCAACCCCAGGCCTACATCCACTCATTTGCCATGAGATATTAATTTCTAGGACAGAACATAATGTAACAGAGGCTTAAGTGTTCCTCTTTTGTAAACACCCTTAATGACCATTTTAGACCTTTTAGCATCATTGACAGGAAAATTAAATCCCTGGAAAAGTGACCAGTTGAGATGCCCTGAGAATTTACAGAGGCCTGTTAGCATAATAGACTCCTGATTTTTAAAAGAGCTACTGAAAGTGATTTCCTGAAGCAGCGATGCTAAGCATCTTGATGTTTGCCGTTGTGAAAGACTGAGGCGAGGGGAGACAAAGCCTCTTACCATGATGCATACGAAGGACTTAAATGACGTCTGGACTGCAGGTGAAGCTGAAGTGAAAGTCAGTGGCCTTGTGCCTCAGCCACGTTCCCCTGCACCATTTCTGAGCTCAGGCAGTCTCAGCAGTGTGGCTTGAGAGCCAGTGTGCTCCAAGGCACAACTATCTCTCATCTGATGCCTCAGTCTTCAAACTTCTCATATTCCTGGGAGACCTTGGAGGTTATCCATTGGATATCCACATTTCCCCCAAAAGGAAAGTTGAAATAATCTGGAGTCTTCAAGTCTGGAGT